TCCGTCCTCTCATTATTATTCATGGTTTCTCCCTCAGTGTTCATGGTTTCTCCTTCAGTGTTCATGGTTTCTCACTCAGTGATCATGGTTTCTCACTGAGTGATCATGGTTTCTCCCTCAGTGTTCAGGGTTTCTCAGTCAGTGTTCATGGTTTCTCACTCAGTGATCATGGTTTCTCCCTCAGTGTTCAGGGTTTCTCACTCAGTGATCATGGTTTCTCACTGAGTGATCATGGTTTCTCCCTCAGTGTTCATGGTTTCTCACTCAGTGATTATGGTTTCTCCCTCAGTGTTCATGGTTTCTCACTCAGTGATCATGGTTTCTCACTCAGTGATCATTGTTTCTCACTCAGTGATCATGGTTTCTCACTCAGTGATTATGGTTTCTCACTGAGTGTTCATGGTTTCTCACTCAGTGATCATGGCTTCTCTCTCAGTGATCATGGCTTCTCTCTTGGTGATTATGGCTTCTCCCTCGTTGATCATAGCTTCCCCCTTTGTAATTGGTTTTATGGTAATTTCATAATGCCTTGCAAGCATTCTCGCTGGTTATCCTCCCAAAGCATTATGGTATGACCGATTTTTGACCCTGCCAAAAAGTCAATGAACAGACATTTATGTATAACTAGACACTGCCCGTTGCCACTGCCGTAGACACTGCCGTATGTTTATATTTATTTCTATAAAAAAAACTTTTTTATTAAGTGTTAAAACAATATATTAACTCATATAAGATCCGATAGGTGGTGCGGTTCGTTTTCATTAGAGGTGTTGAACAATAGTAGAGGGCGTCCATAGGCTGCAGGCCAGAATAAGCATCGAACAGAAATTAATTAAAAATACGCACACAGTGTTACTGCGCTTACAAAACATACACTTTATTCATGTTAAATAACTACAGATTCGTGCTCTATGCTCCGCTCGAAACTTTTGCCAGCTCTATGATGCGAATTCCTACAGAGTAGTCGGATCCCGTTTCATACACAAAAATGGCCGACCGGCGACCATGGCTACGCCACTAGCAGCAATGGCACAATTACACAACACGAATAATTTTACTTCTAATGCTTTCTAGACGTTCACGAGGCATCTACCTTGCGTGCATAATGCAAATTATTGCACTCTAGTGCCTAATTTCGGCGGGAAAAAATGCCAAAAAGGCCTTTTCTAGAGACGAAATAGTGCAACGGTGAACAATTGTGGCAGCTTACTGTTGTACACCTCTTAGAGCCCCGCGCTCGGTGCAAAAATTTCCCACTATTTTAATGTTTTTGAACGTGGAATGTGAAAAAAATGAAACTGTGAAAAAGAAAAAATAGCCCATGTAACGTGTCATGATCTGTAGAATGTTCCGACCAAGTTTGGAGAGGATCCGTTGAGCGGTGCGGAAACGTATAGCCGGACAGAAAATCCCCAATTTATAGTAAGATTCCCACAAACAACCCATATAAGCCTTTTGCACTAGTTAGAAATTTGATCAGCAGTCTATAAAATATGGCAAAGTAAAATGAAATGCAACATTACATCAAAGGCAAACATGCACTTACATGCAGCATGTTCAACAGCATCAAGAAAGAAGATATGGCTTGGTTTGTCTTTCTTTCAGAGATCTGAGCGCTGCGGTCAATTAACAACCCATATTAGAGAGAAATATAAAAGCAATAGTTTGGAAACACATTTTACACTTGTAAATATATTTTATAGAAGACATACTTAGTAATGTCAGGAGCCTACTGATAGACTCCTGATAATGTGTCTCCTGCTTTATTGGAACAGGTTTGGAACTATGGAAATGTCTCAATTAAGCAGTGATCATGATTAAGTGGAGACCACTTCACTATTTTGTTGTTGTAGGCTTGCTTCTACATTATAAACATAAGTTTGAGCTCCTGCGGTTTGACAATGACCGTTGGCTGCTGCAGTTTGATAAAGTGCTGTGTGTCATCATCAATGTCAATGCAGTATGTGTGCCCTGTGGTTTGATAACGAGCTTCTGCTCCAAGTGGTTTGCTTCTGCTCCATACCTTATGGGAGGTTGCCAAATAAAAGATTAACGTAACGTAACACGTTGTATCCATCGACTGTTGTTATCCCTCACAAGTGCAGACATCTTTACTCCAGCGCCTGCGACATGGTATCAGAATTGTCCTGCAATCACAGTGGATGAGAGTGAAAGAGCTGGATTTACATCTACACATGGATGCTATGCGAAATTTCGAAGCAAAATTTGGTAATCAGAGTCGCGTTCTGCATAGCAGCCAGGATATGTCCGAGACAAAGTTGTAGTGTGGCCAGTAGAACCGTTGCTGAATGCTGGATCTACTCCGTTTCTCTCCTTGATGTCCGGCTGTACGATGGTAATGTAATTGCTGAAATATTTCTCTTTGCAATTCCTTATGTATCACCAGCTGAAGTATGGGATGAGTCGGTGTGACTGGCGTCTCCCATCGTCTATACAATTTACTTGATTCCACTGCCCCCAGTATGCTTTTGCCTCTGATCCCATTCCTGCAATTTCTGCAAACTCAGGTCTGTCCAACGCCGCTTCTTTTCGTTCCTTAAAGAAGACAATCACAGGATCCTTATCTTGTAATCTCCTAATATTTTCCGGGTTCCATACATCATGGTCCTTCCCCTGATCCTTGGGATTCTCTCTGCGATCCTCTCGCTCCTGATCTCCCTCGGTCACTACCAACACCTGCCCACGCGGATCTTTATCCTCACATGAAGAATCGCCTCTCCCCCTATTACGACTGGGTGGTTCATCTCTCCATGTAGAATCCTCTCTTCCCCCACTGCAGCTGGGTGGTTTATCTCTCCATGTAGAATCCTCTCCTCCCATTACGACTGGGTGGTTCATCTCTCCATGTAGAATCCTCTCTTCCCCCACTGCAGCTGGGTGGTTTATCTCTACCACTTTCCTCTTCTTCCCCGTCATCAACGTGCGTTTCCTCTTCCTCTGAGTGCATCTCCATCGCTGGTCGGGCATCCTCTCCCATCATTCCCTGCCTGCTATCTGGGCAGTTCTCTTTAGGGCATTTCCCAACTGTCTTACGTGAAAACGCATCCGCATTCTGGTGATGCTGTCTCTTCCGGTGCTCAATTTCAAAGCCGTACGTATCTAATAATGCTATCCATCGTGTTACCATCCCCTCCGGGTTCTTGAAATTGACCAACCAAGTCAACGATGTATGATCGGTTCTTATCTTAAAGGGTCTTCCCCATAGATAATGGTGGTACTCTTTGACAAATACCACTACTGCTAACAATTCTTTCTTGGTTGTACAATATCTCTTCTGTGAGTGGTTCAGCGTCTGACTGGACACTTTATTGACACACTATATTCCGGTACACGCTATTGTTTTGCGTCCAAATTTTGCTAAACACGTACTTGTATTTCATGTCAAAATTTCATTTAGACACGTTCTTTTGTTTTTCATCTCGGCATTCAAAATTCTATTCGACGTTGTTCTGCTTTGGAGGTTCGCTCAACACGCAGGGTGCGAAATTAACGGGAGTCCGGAGTCAAATACTCTCTGATTTACTGTCGGACTCCCTGATTTGACATATGCAGGAGTCCGTGTGACTCCCTGAAATATCGTAGGCCATACTAACTAGCTTCGGTTCCAGAGCACGGCCCGTCGATAGTAATAACCGATATTTTTCAGCAAATTTAAATTCTGGCAAACTGTGACAGATCACCATGAGACTTAAAATAGCACATGCGTTACTTGTTAATATCTTATCATTTGAACCCCAGCACTGCGGACTCCCTCATTTTGTTGGCGACTTCTTCTTTTTGAGGGTAGCGCGGTCCGTTGGACTTCCGTGTTCAAAAGTTAATTCTATACCCCTGTAACAGCGGCTGTATCATACAGAGTTACTTTGTATTTTTCTTTAGCAATTATTGAGGAGAACGCTGGTAGGAACGTTAACTTTTACGAGTTGTGTTATGACGAGCCGTCTCTGAAGCAAAATACGCCAGGACGATACCCAGAGCGACTGACGACAGGAATACTTGACGTCGTGCACCAGAACGTGGCAGCCCGCTTTTCCCTCGAGCACGATGGAAGTACGTGAGAATTATATTCGCGGGGCGAAAAACCATATTGAGTGGCGAACTGTGTGATACTGTCTATTTCCAATCTGAGTAGTGTGAAGATGACACATGAGACACGACACGGGAGAGAAACCAGAGTTAAGCTGCGAACATGTGTGAAGCCTGCCTTCTACAAGCTTCGAGGTAATATGAAGAACACATGAGAAGCGCATCACGGGAGGAGAAACCATATAAGTGCGATCTGTGTGATGCCGTCTTCTCTCACATCACGAGTATGTGAAGGCACACATGGAGACTGCAACCAGGAGAGAAAGCCGGGTATGAAGTGCGACAGTGTTGGCCGTCTTCTCACGCTCGGTCACGTCGACACGAAGACACATCAGAAACTCACACGGCGAGAGAAACCGATAAGTGCGATCTGTGATGCTGCCTTACGCACAATCAGGTGATGTGAAGAAACCCACATTGAGAACTCACACGGGAGAGAACCGAGTAAGTGCATCTGTGTTTGCTTGCCTTCCCAGTCGAGGTGAAGGGGTGACGTTACAACTCGAGAACCGCACACGGGAGAGAAAGCCATATAAGTGCGATCTGTGTTGAAGCCGCAATTCTCCATTCTGAGTAATATGAAGAGACCAATTAGAACGCACACGGGAGAGAAAACAATATAAGTGCGATCTGATGTGAATGCTGCCTTCTCATGTCGTGAGTAGTGTTGAAGACACACATGAGAACTGCACACGGGAGAGGAAACCGGTATAAGGCCGATCAGTGTGAAGGCTGCGCTTCTCGACGATCAGGACTGTGAAGAGATACATGAGAACGCACACGGCAGAGAAACCTAGCATAAGGTGCGATCTGTGTGAATGCCTGCCTTCTCGACGAGATAGGCTGTGAAGATACACAATGAGAACTCACACTCCGAGATAAACCCGTATCAAGTGCGATCTGCTGTGATGCTGCCTCTCGACGATAGGGGCTGTGAAGATACCACGAGACTCACACACTTCGAGAGAAAACCGTATAAGTGCGATGCTGTGTGAGAGCCGCATTCTCCATTCTGATAATATGAAGAGACACCATGGAGACAGCACAAGGGAGATAGAAACCGTATAAGTGCGCATCTGTGTGAATGCTGCCTCTCAACTCGAGTCATGTGAAGAGACAGCCATGAGAACGCACACGGCTAGAAATGCATATAGTGTGTTGTGATGCGCTTAGTCTGTATGATCATAGTTAAAACAACATAGAGGAGATCCACATGAAAGGAAACAAATATTCAATATGAACATTAAAAGTTACGCTTTCGCTACTGAAAGACACGCTATGATCGCACGATGAAAGTACATATCGAACCTTGAACCCACATGTAGAGAGGCAGGCCATTGCTCTGTGAACACCGCGAGTGCACCGCACACATCGATCTGAGGGCAGTGTGGATCCCAACGAATACAACTCAACGGAAACAGCTTCTGGCCAGGGTGGAGGCTGAACTACGAATTGCTGTGATGAAAGCTCTGTGAAACGCCTTATTACAGTGACATGATTGTGTTTTTAAATGAGTACACAACTAGTGTGGCATTAGAGAGAATGTGACACTTTTGTCTAGAAATGTAACTAGTACCATATGTGAATAACCAATATGTTGAAAACCAGTGTTCTAAAAAAACAAGCGGTAAGCCTGTATGTATTACTTGCAATTTTGGATGTTTGTCATCGAGTATGAATATATCGAAGGATACAGAGGAAGTAGGCGAGGATTAAAACAATAAAAACGGGAGGACGTGTTTGTGGAATGATAATTCTACCGGACAAGAGCTGGGCGAGGCACAGGAGAGAGCAGAGGCAAATGAGAGATATGCACAACGTTGATGTTTTATTACTATCAAAATATATGTGTGTTAAGATAATTAACATTAAATAAAGCCTTTATAATAATTTCTAACACCAGGCGTAATTTATTCATGATATGTCTACGATAATTCAATCATTAACTGTGTCTAAAATGTAAACTAATACCATTTGTGAATAACCCTTATATGTTTGAACACTGATCTAATAAAACAACGTAACACTGTTATTATTTGTAATTTTGATGTTGTGATCATCGTGTATGTCAACATTGAATAACGAGATAATTTCTAACACGCGTGTTCATTTATATATGTCATACATTCAGTAGCACGTGTAGCATATCACACGCTCCCTCCATATGACTGGGTTAATTATTCATAGATGTCGTGAATGCAATGCCCGTGTGTTGTTGAAGTTTACGAGAGTAGAGCTGGGTTGGATTTTCCACATATTTTTGTGACATGCGGCCCGGGTGGTGTAGCACTTGTCTCTATAGTCCGTTAAAATGAGGTAATAGATCTAGAACGATGCGAAAAGACCATAGACCTTCCACACGAAACATTGGCGCACCGACATGTCATGCATTTCGCTTGCTATTCTATCGGCTCTCCAGTTCCAACATGGCTACAATAATTTTAGCAGTAGAGTTTGCGTAATATTTTTACAAAACCAACATAACTAACGATTAACGGCGTCCAGACGTCTTACGCGTACAATGCAGAACAGTACGCGTTAGTTCTGTTTTTTAACCTGCTTTGTTCATGAAGCGACACAATGATTCGAACACAGGCTGGAATGCTACGAGTATATATATATGTAACGTTTGAGCGAGCCACGGCCTCAATGTGCGCCACAGGTTCGACCATAGATCTACACGCGGACACGAGCAGTAACGGAGACAACATTACCAAGTTGAGTGTTCAAACCGGGAACGCCGGTGCTTTTATCAGCATACGACCGACAGGCCCGGTAGCTACGAACATCACCACAAACTTGGGCTGAATACCCAGAAACAGTGAACACAGCATCTTACTATAATTTGGCGATGTTGTATGTATGTATGTATGTATGTATGTTAATGAAAGGCTCCGTCAGTTTGGTCCAAATAGCGCCAATTCACAGAAGAGATCGATGAGTACACGGGACGGTTGTAAACTATACTCGGTTGAAACCGTTTGTTCGGTCTTAAAAAGATTTAAAAAAACTAAAGGTAAAGATTTGCCTGCAAATAGGG